TATTAGCCTTCTGATTATGAAACAAATTTCAAATCAGTGCGGCAGACCGCTTCTGGGCACCCACGAGGTAGCCGGGGATGTTAGGCCTAGATATTGAGCTCAACATTATATAATTTATTTATATAATAATCTTAATAAAAGATCACCGGCAAGGTTGCCAAAGATTAAAAAAAAAAAAAAAAAAAAAAAAAAAAATATATATATATATATATATATATATTTATATATATAGTATTTAAAATTTTAACAAAATATTAAACAAAGGGAATTGCTAAATCTCACCGCAGGTGATCATCACCATAGGTGATTTTCACCTCAAATCATATGATTATATATATGGTATATTACATGATTCATATATAAATGTAGTACAACGTAGAGGTTATACAACAGAAATCATATGGGCGTAATATAGAAAAATGTTTGTGATTAGCCAATACGTATTATAAATTGAACTAAGCAATTCGTGCTTTTGTGCCCCATTATATATAAAATGGTATATAGTGAGTATTTTTTTAAAAAATGTAACCATTCTATTATACTCTTTACAAACGAAACTTTAAGCTTCTGACTTAAGTATACTTTACTTAGAGACAGTTCAAGCTAGAAGAATCGTAATATATAATAAGTATTAGCATTCTTAATTTCAAAAAGTATCGCTACTTGGTTTGAGAAAAAAAGCTTGAAAGTAATAATAACTTTCTAATTATACTTAAATAGATTGCAAACTCTCAATATACTTCTTAAATACGAAGAAATACTTGGTAAGTAGTTTTAGGCTTCAAGATCTTGATGTTAATAAGTCAAAGTCAGGATTTTAGTATTAAGATACAATAAAAACTAAATGGTTGTTTTTTTTTTTAATAAACAGGTTCTACTATTTTCACACATAGTTACATTTAAGATAGCTTATTGTGCATTATGAGAATTAATGACTTTATTGTTTTGTAAAAAGACTATTATAGTGATAGTTGTATTAATCTCTTAGTTTTTGATCGAAAACTTCAAGAGTTAAAGTTTAGATTATAGTTAATTTCGTGTTTGAATAAAGTTGCTTTCAAATATGTTATCTTAATTCCTACTGTTAATAAAATTTTAATATTACATGATGAATACTTGTTTGATTGTTTTAGTAATATAATTATATCAAACATTTACCGTACAGGGTTGCATACAGTACCCCAGGTATTTTACAAAAAAGTTGGTCTAGATTGAATAATACCTCCAAATATCGAAAGATGGAAGGATAACACAAATAATCGTTACTGATTACTATATACTTTGTTATTAAACATATCAAACCAAATGAAAGGATCGCACTATTAATATGAAAACTAGACTACAAATCACTTGCAAAAAAAGGAGGGATACTATTCAAGGAGTACTATATGCAGCGCTATTGTTCACTGTGATAGATAAAAAGCAAAATACACAATTTTGTTTTTTTTATTTGTTGGTTAACTTATGCTACATTGCATTTAAAACGTATATATAGTTAGATGAATTGTATACATACATCATATATCCCAAAGTATAAGATTAATGCTTCTAACTATTATAATTTTTTACATTCACAAGTACGAGAATTATGCCCAACACCTTTATAATAACTGCATACATATTTACTTTTTTTTTCATGATCATTTTGCTAGTTTGCTTCTTCAGATCGCTTATCACTATTATTTCTACAATTCAATTTATTTATCATAAATCATGAATAAACTCGCTGCTATCATAATAATTACAACAAACTAAATTACTTACCTATAATTCGAATCTTGCAAATTTTTAGTAGCAGTATAAGTTCCACTTTTACCTTGATATTTAGAAATGGAGTTTTCAAATGCACTTTTAATACGTTTTTTAGGTACATCTTTTGTATGAGTTAAATAAGGATTGCTTATATTTGGCAAATTCTCCTTGTCAGGCTCATTTAAATTGTAATGAATCTTTCTTTCTGTCTCCTTAATCCAATCTTGTAGGAGTTTATTTAATTTATTTTCATAACCAGTTTCAAGAGCCAACTCAACGACTTTTTTTGCATAGCCAAAGCCTTGGTTATATTTTGCCCAACGAGTTAGATTCTGTTTAACAGTTTCTGAGATTGCTTATATATGCCGAATCTCATTAAGGAAGCTATAATTCATCTCAATTGGATGCTCATATATAGGCTTACTACCATCCTTTTTACTAGCAATAGTAATTGCAGTTTCACCTTGAGGGTCTAATGTTGTTTCTTTGTACCATCGTACCGGAATAAGACCAATGTGAAACATAGCTTTATCTGAATTAAGCATTACAGAAAAAAAATGATGGCAAACAAGCCCTTTTGTTACAAGATTCATACAGGTGCACAAATGATTAGCATTTTCGTAAATTATCACAAAATGTTCTTTATTTTGTTCAATTGTTATTACACGCCAAACCTCCTGGATAGTAGATCGATCAATACATTTAATTAATGAATCCAAGTTTGTTATAACAGATTCATAACTATCCTCAGCAAATTCTATATCATTTG